TCAATTTTAAATTCCAAATCTTTCGATTTCTTAAATTTCTTAATTCCTCAATTTAAAAATTTCCAATCTTCAAATTCCCACATTTTCAAATTCAAAAAGTTCTAAATTTTTAAAAGTCCCTCTTTATAAATTTCTAAATTAAAAAATTTGTATGTGTCTCAAATCTACAATACTATACATAACTTTCGTTATAATGAAATATTTAAAATAAATTAAATTTATTTTTTATTATATCGTAATTAATTATTACTTGAACGCGTTTAGAAATGTATCTTTTTCACAGCTTGCAAACAGTCCTGCATTGAAAGATTAAAGAGGCTATTTAATAATTAAATGCGTGTAAATATAAATTGAGATCGAGGTACAGTGATATGCAGATGAACTTGTGTCCCATATAGCAACGTCATTAAAATTTGATTTACATCGCACGTTCAATCACAGCACCGCTCACAAATTGGGATATTATTCAACGCTCTTCAAACGAACCGAACGTCGATCAATGTTCGCATTCGAATCACGTCCTGACTCGTTGAATACCGTTTGTATGTGTTATACCCTCGTACTTCTGACTCCAACCAATAGTAGAAATCGAATTTGGTTCCTTCCTCTATCAAAAGTTTGAAATCAGATTTGTCGTTATGCTAGATGTTTCTGATTCTATCAGAAGAATGTTTGGGCATCTGTTTTTGAAACGTCCTATATAATAGGAATTATAATTTCAAGATTTTCAAAGAGGAAACTTGTTGTTTATGATAAAATAAGTCATGGAACTAATTTAATCTTGAATTTTATTTCTTGTTGTAGAATTGTTTGAATTTTGATTTATTTTAGGAATAACCTGTAGAATGAAAATTATGATTTTGGACTTCTGAGAGAGGAATTTAGTCTTAATAATAAAATATAGCACTGACATAATCTAAGTATTAATTATATTTTGTATTATATGATGTTTCAATGCTTGATTTATTTTTGAAACGTCCTGTACAATGAAAATTATGATTTTGAACTTCTGAGAGAGAAATTTATTCTTGATGACAAAATATGTCACTGACATATTCCTTATTTTTATTTTATATTATAGGATCTTTCAGTGCTTGATTTATTTTTGAAACGTCCTGTATAATGAAAATTATGATTTTGAACTTCTGAGAGAGAAATTTATTCTTAATGACAAAGTATGCCACTTACATATTCCTTTGTATTATAGTACATTTTAAAGTTTGCTCTTTTAATTAAATATCCTTGTCAACAATTACAATTTCAAACTTTTAAAAATTTATTCGTATTAAATCGAATGCATTATCGACATAAGCTAATTTTTTAAACATTTTACACTTATCACATATTAGTACATTACATTTATTTAACGGATGAAAATAATATGAACTTGGTTTTTCAAGCAAACACGCTCGCCAAGTTACCATTAACTTTTTGCTAAAAAAACAAATGTATGCTCACATGCAAATGTGGTTTAACGTTTAAATCCGAGGATCCATTAGCGATCTTCGAAGAGAGGAATAAGCGAAAATGATAGGAAAATATCTGTTATACTGATCTAGACCAGATGTGGACTAAAACGGTGGTAAAATTGAAATCTGTTTGCACGAATTTTTAAAAATTTGGAAATGTGAATAAACATTTTTATCGGTTCAGTTACAGTTTATTCTATTACATTGTTAATTTCGTGACTGAAAATAAATCAGTAAATTGAAGCAGTGATAATAATTTTATGTATTAGAATGAATGGAAGAATTGAATAATGTAGCAAAAGAAATTTTAGTGTTTCATATTACATTGATAATAATATTTTCCTTTATTGTCTACGTGTAAATGAAGTTAAAATGAAAGAAATTAAATAAAAATTAAAATTTGAACATTTTTTAGTACTTTATGTTAAATCTGTGAAAGTATTCTGTTATGAAAACTGGTTTCCAGACAAATGAATTTGAATTTTACCGCCACTGGGCCACGTCCAGTTTAAATCAGTATGGTGGTCATTCCCGTACCACTCCCTTGAGAGTCACTCTGTAAATAATATTTGTTACACTCTAGACTCTCAGAGGACTCTATTACAATATAATAAACATATACGTTTAATTAACAATAACAAAAACATTACTGAACATATAATATTAAACACTGATACTTTTTGCTTCTTTTTAAGCACGATGAATATACATAATTTGAATTTTACCGCCACGTGAGGCCACGTCCAGTTTAAATCAGTATGGCGGTCATTTTCATACCGCTCCCTTGAGAGTCACTCTGTAAATAACATTTGTTACACTCCAGACTCTCAGAGGACTCTATTACAATACAATAAACACATAAATTTAATAAACAATAACAAAAACATCACTGAACGTAAAATATTAAAAACTATGACCTAAAAAAAATTATAACCATGATTCTGATACTTTTAATCGCATTTCAAACACGACGAATATATTCAATTTACTTAGGTCAAGTAAAACATAGTATTATAAGCGATAGTATTGTGTAATTTTCAATCATAAATCATTTGTTGCGAATGATCATGCCATTACCATCATCACGGTTTCTTAACTTGAATCAGAGCTTGCGATTCATCTTTTATTCGTTTGAATACCACTCAAAGCGATTATACTGTTCCCGTTCCATATTGAACAATGCCGTCGCATCAGTTCAGTAGGATTAACAGTATACAATACCGGGCACAGTAAGCTTTCCTAGGAAAAATGAGAAAATGTAACTTGCATGCTAACATTTACTCGGGAATATTGTACTTACTCTCTTTTAGTTATATATTCAACTTTGCAACATTAATTAAAAATAATTATTTATTCAGACTTTACTACATTGTATAATATTTTACAATAAATTTTAAATTACAATATTTATTGTTTCTGTTTTATTTCTTGGGAGCTCTTTGTTTCTATGGAAGCTTCACTGATTTCGTATGAAGGTTTATTCAGGAAAATTTTATTCAACATTTCTCACATTTATTTATTTTTTATTATTTACAAATATTATAACATTTCTTATAACATTTTATAACATATATTAATACTGTGGATAGGGGGATTCACTGCACATGACATGAGACATTAACAAAAATATATAAAAACGTAATAAAATAATAATAAAGATAAGAATAATAGTTGAACTGCAGATACGGTTTCACTTTATTTTAATTTTTACGATCAACGATCTCAGCAGGGACAAAAGCAATCCAAGTAAACGAAAGTATCCCACTGCGAGTAAGTTTCAGTCTGTTGCATGCTATTTTTCAGATTCCCGAAAACTTTCCATCACCGTGCAAACACTTTAACCGAAATTCTTCTAATGGGAGGATCGCTCTGAAGATATTTTCACGTTAACTGAAATCTAAGAGCTTCCCAGCTGGAACTTTGTCCATTAGCTATCGTCACGATCCGAAATAAATTCAGGTTAGGTACAGAGTGCAATCGCTAGCTACCTAAAGAAATCAATGTATCACTAGAGGACTAGTGTATGTTCCGTAAGTTGGACTACTAAAGTATGGAATCTCCTGCGAACTTGAACAGATTGAATAATCGTGGCTAGTCGTTCGTTAAACACAGTCAAGTGTGCATGTAAGCGGGATTCGATTTGCCTAATTACAGGAATCACGAAATCTGTCGGATCTTTGGACAAGCTCTATTCATAGCGGAAGGGACGATCGTGTAGGCGTGCTAGTTACTCACCGCATAACTGACTGATCAAAGGGACGCCATTTTGATTGATTGCGGCTTTAATTAAATTTATTTTTGTAAAACAAGTTAAGCACTAAATTCTATTAGATCTACTAATTACGACAGCCTTTCTATTCAAATTATGGGTAAAAGGAATAAATGAAAAACATTTTTTAAATTAATTAACAAATAAACAATTTTAATATGTTACATCGTACATATTTATCAAAGAATGTATCTTACGCTTCAAATGATTTTGGTAGTTTTCATTCAAAACTTCAAGAAATGTTTATTGACGTGTGTCATATGAATCAATATCATTTCCACTTCTATAAATCGAGTAATATGTTAATAAAAATATCGTGTAATATGTGTTCTGAATTCGTCTCGATGTCCTCTAAAGCTACGAATAAAAAAAAATGTATGTTCCTATTTAAAAAACCCAAGGTGACTTTAACTTTGCCAAGAGAACAAACTGTTTTCCAAATTTGATTTACTAATATCTATTGTGCACTTCATATCCTGCAAATATTGTTCTAAACTGTTTTTCGTAAGGTGGCTGTAAGTGGGAGAAAAATCGTGAGTAGCGTTATAGGTAACACCCTGTATCTTTGTTGTATAGAATGAGTATCATGTAAACTAATCTAATGAAGTAAGAGAAGAATAAATTTCATAAAAAAATGATTCGTTTATAAAAAAGAAAACACATAAATTTTCATGAAAACTTTTTCCTGAAAGTGGAACAATTCACAAAAATGGAAAAGTTAATTCATTCTGGAAAATGTACGTGTTCATTTGAAAGTATACATAAAAGAGTAGTAACAAAGGTGAGGTAATATTAAAAAAAATATGACACTAATATTTTACTTAAAGCAGTTAAGGTAGCTTGTATAATTAGCAGGTAATGTACATTATTGCCTAGGGAAAGTATGACACAATAGTCCAAAATTATCATCATTTACGCACTACCGGAAATGCACATACGCAGAGCATACATTGCTTAGGTAATGTATGCACTGTCCATACTTTACACTTTGCCTGTGGCATATACAATGTTTGTGTAATGTCAATCAGGTGCAATGTAGGATTTGAAGCTTCACTGTAGGAAACCTTTAAATGCTTTCTGAAGTTTTATTTTCTTCAAAAGTAATGGAAATGATTTGGTAAAATGGACTCGTGATATATCACCACGAGTTGTGTAGTTATGCATTCTATTATTATGCGTTCTATAGCTACGTGCTATAATTACAGTATGATACGCATTATATCACCTCGCATTGTATTGCATAGTTATTTATTATACAAGCACGTACTATATGGCCATGCGTTGTATACTTACGCGTTGTATTACTACGCGTTATATCACCATACATTATATCACCACACGATATATCACCACACGTTATATCACCATTCACTATACTGCCTGGAACTACATCACGATGCATTGTAAATCTACGCGTTATATCGCCATGTATTATCAATCTTATTTTGTAGAGTCTTACATTGTATCCTCGTCGTCACATAGTACTGCACTGTACCTCTTTGCAATATATTACAACGCATTGTAAATTCTCGTGTTATATCAGCTCTGCACACAACCCTGCGTTATGTAGCCTTCCGTTATATCACTCTACGCATTATTATAGTCTTGCGTTATATAACCTAGTGATATGTTACATGTGTTGTATATCCTCGTGTTATATTACCATTATATATCCTTTCGTTATATCGCTCTAGTTATAATATAGTATCCTCATAATTAACCTTGCGATATATTACAACTCACACATCCTCGCGTTATATAGTCTTCCACTCTAGGTTACAAGATAAACTAAAAAAATGAATTTCAACTACTCTCGCATTATACAACCATACAATGGAACTTTTGTTATATCACCCCACGCGTTCCACATTTCTACCTTGTAAAATCTTACGATCTATTATAATACAATATGCACCCTCAGTGCAGTCTCGCGTCATATCACCTCATATTACCATTACATAATCTCGCGCCATATAGCCTCACGTCTACGTTAAATTTCCCTTTAATTCTCTGAAAGTTGAAAGCGAACGGTGATACATTCACCGGCGCTCTTTTCCATAGCTAAAGGGTGGTATATCTACGTGGCGGTCGAGTGTACCTGGTCTGTATTCATTTAAACCAGTGTTTTTGAAGAGGTGAGGTTGGTTTTTTAATGTTTGCATAACAGCGGCGGCGCATAGTGCCTCGACCAAATAGCAGACCTCTGGTGTGTGGTCGATGGAACACATGGTATAAAATTCGCCAGCTTCGAGATTGGAGGAGTGTGGAAAGCCGATGGAAACTGGTGCTAGTTACCCAGCAGAGCCTCTAATCGATACAGCTTCCCTTTGCGTCCTACGCCCCTTCGTTTGGGTGTGGTGGTACTGGAGTACCTGTTAGACCGTTAGACCCTCGACATTCAATAGCTTGCATACATACGTTCGATGATTAAGCGTTTTTTTATTTCCCTCCCTCTTTTTATCGCTCGCTCTTCGGCATACGATGCACAGACCAACTAAATGAGCTCACGTCGATAAAGAATGTGTAATTTTCTGAATATTTAAATGAACTTCTGAGAATTTACATTTTATGGCTTTCAAATTGGATTACGGAAATGGTAGAAAAAGGTATTCATTTATGGATTACGGTGCGGGAGATATTTTTTCTTTGTAATTACGGTTTCACTGGAAATTGTTGACGATAAAATATTGTGAGCCTTAGAGATTACTGTTTTGGGTTTATACGGCATTCGGATATTTATTTATAAATTATAGTGTTTGTTCTTATCGTTTTATTGTTACAAATTGTTCATAATAAAGTGTAAGGTTGGTTGAAACTACAATATTTACATTAATGCAAAAAATGTTATAATGACAGGTGGAATAATAGATGGAACTGTATTATGAAATTTTTTAATGTAAAATGTATTGTAGTACTTGCTTATATGTATAATTTGAAGTTTGTTAAAATATCTATACATATAATAAAACAATAATAAACTAAATATCATGAGAAATTTATTTACAGTTAGGAAGCTTCAATTATATTAAAATATATGCAAATTTACACAAAGTATAACAACGTAGTCGAAACAAATAAAAGTATTTCTAAAAATAATATTAAATAAATATTCCATAAGAAAATTAAAAAAAATATGCACTGATGCATTTCATACGTAGTAATTTTGCGAAAAAAAGATAATTGAAAATAAAAGTCTTAGAGTAAACAGTCTTCCATAATTAAAGATCTTGTCTGTGCAGCCTGCGGTTATTCTACTTACGTGGCTCTTTGTCTGATCACTGAAGTATGTAATGCCCCAAACGTTACTTTTTTCTTTCTGGAAAAGTAAACATTCGATGCTTACTTACCGCGCAATTTTATACAATGTAGTAGCAAAATTTATTCGCTGCTTAAGTTAAGAAATCCTTAAAGGTATATTAATTACGTTGTTTAAGCTCTCTGATAGTCTTTGCGAGTCAAATGTTCATCTTTCAGCCAACGGCCATACTAGTCAGGATATACCGGTTCTCGTCCGATCACCGAAGTCAAGCTGAGTTGGGCGCGGATAGTACTTGGATGGGTGACCGCTTGGGAACTCCGCGTGCTGTTGGCTTTTTTTTATTTTTTTCTTCGATAAAAATGTATTAACAACTATTATTCGGTACAAATTTTCATTTATTCAATCTTAAGCACATTTACAGACGAATTGAATTATTAGCTTGAGTCGAATGTTTCTACTGTTTTCTTCTGGCAGAAGGTAGCTGTAATTAATTATGATTAACATCGGTTTAATTAGCATAACCTATTACAAACTTGATAGTTCACATTTCAATGTTAATTTAAATACAATTTTATGTTGTTTGATATCAATGTTAATTTAGATATAATCTATAGTATTTGACATCAATGTTAATTTAAATATAATTGCATGATGTTTGTCATCAATATTCATTTAAACACAATTCTATAGCACTCGAATTAATGTTAGTTTAAATACAGTTCTTTTATTTTAATCACATAAAATTGATTAACACAATCCCGCACAATGAGTCACATTAATATATTGCATATAACTCCTATTTGTTTGATTATAAATATTTTAATTTTACTTTGATAATATTTTTTAGTTAGTTAAAATCTCTCTTGACTTCATATTGAATAGCTTCGATTTTATTCAATAAAATTCTTTTCAACTCAATTTTAAATATCTCGGTTTTTATTCGATAATATTTTATTTTGTTCGACTTCAAATATTTTTATTCTGATTGGTAAAACCTCTTCCAATTGCAGAATAAATAATTGAACTTCAATTCGTTAAAATCCTCCTTTATTCAACTTTTAATAGCTTCGTTTTTGTTCGATAATATTTTTTTTATAATTTCGGGTATTCTGATTTTATTTCGTTGAAATTCGTTTTTTGTTCAATTTTAAATGTCTTAATTTTTATTCGGTAAAATTCTCTTTAGTTCAATTTTAAATGTAGTAATTATAATTTAATACAATTTTTATTTATACAAGTTTAAATATATTAATTTTAATTTTTTAGAATTGTCTTTTATAAAATTCTAAAAATTTTAAATTTGTTTTACAAAAATTATTTTCTGCGTAATTTTACAAACTTTAATTTCAATTCAATAAAACCTTTTTTTAATTTTAGTATCATTTCTATCTTTCAGTATTTTAATTGTATTTTGAAACGACTAAAAAATTCTCTTGCTTTTATCAATGGCAAAAATGGTAGAAAGAAATTTGACTCCAAAAAAGAGATACAAAATATTTTATTAATATTAACAATAAGCATTTAAAACACTTTATAAATTGCATATTGAAATATATCTTATAATTAATTAAATAAGAATTATAATTTATGGCAAATCAATTTGATGTCTAAAATTCAATGAAAATGCTTGCACAAGTATGTAAGCAATATTTTCGATCCACCATGGTTTATTTTTCGTCCGAATAAACTTGAACTAACCATCCTGTACATTGTTCATTACCGAATAACCAATTTGTATTCGCTTATGCTACAAAATGGTAGTAGACTCATCTGCATAGTATATATTCAAGAAAAGTGGTTTCATGTTTCAAAAACTTCATTATTACACTACAGTAAATCAGGAATCCCTTCATCATTTTTATGCAAGCATAAAACGCATATTTGTTCACGGATAAAACCGTAAATTAATTGATTCCTTGTTAACTTCACTGAAGAGTCAGCCATTTTGTATTAAGAGTGCAGCCATTTTCATCAGTATTCAGATTAACGCTATTTCTACCAAGAGATATCGAAAGACACTTTTCAAATTGTATCTTAAAATTATTCTCTAACTTGAATCATTTCTCCACAATTAATTTTTTCACTTTTCATACAATAGTTAAGTTAATTCAGCGATATTTCTTCCAGAGCATCCTAGATCTAAAAATGTGCAGTATACTTATTTCTACCATATGTCTTTAACACCTTAAAGATTTCATGACTAATTTTAAACCATTTTACATAGAAATATCAACACCACTTTGCAGCATCAATTATAATCATATTAGAGAATCCCTTATTCAGTTGCAACGGAAAATACAGAGTTGCGGCATTACTTTGATATTCGCTTATTTCCCGCCATGTTGCATTTCAGCGTACACCGCCATATTTATATTTTGTAGATTGATGAATTAAGCTAGAATTTACAACCTGATAATCTCTAATAAAAACACATCAAGGTATCGATAAATATATTCTTCAAATTATCTACATTTAACTGATAATTTGAAATCCCAACAATTTGGGCAATTATTTGCATTTAAACGAAAATGTGTTATCTGTTAAATGCACACTTCTAAATTGAAAATGAAGTGAAAAAATAGATAAGTAACAAAATTGTCTAATTTTATAAATTTTGTCAATTTTGCAAACTTTGTAAATTTTGTAAATTTTTCAAACTTTGTAAACTTTATAAATTTTGTCAATTTTTCAAACTGTGAACTTTATAAATTTTGTAAAAAATATGAAACTTGAAATCAATCATTTTGACTGACTGGTATTTCTACTGTTGAACGTTTCGAGTTAATAGCGTGGTTTAAAACACGCATAATATGCAATTCTGTCGAAACAAATATAAAATGCATACAATTAGAAAATGAAGGGATACGTGAACGCACTTCCGCGTTTCATTGTTAGCTCCCGCCATTGTCCACTTGATTGGCGCGATTGTTAAATACAATGCTAATAGAATTAACGTGATTACCACCCTGTCATTCGACATGAATAATTCCGTCGCGTTATACATCAAATGATTGCATATACTCAGTATTAATTAACGATGCGTGTAGTCATGTGCGCAATATACGTGAAGTCCAGACATTTCCAAATTGATTACTTTAAAAAATACATTGTGTATTGCTTTATTACATAACACACAGTCTTTACGCTGTCTTAAATGTACTAATAATTAAGGAATTACTCTAAAATGTTAAAGAATTCTACTAATTACATCATTAGTGAATTTTGTTCAACCACTTAACAATTAATAATTTTTACAATTCTTTTGTAACATTGTAAGATTAATTAGTATAGTATAGTCCAGTGAAAAATTTAACTCGAATTGATGAATATTAGAATAGCAGTGATTGCTATCTTATAATATTAATTTCTTGACTAATATTAACTAGTTAAACTAATTTTTTGAGTAATGTATAATACTGTCTCGTAATATTATTTTTTAAGTAATGGTTTTTCAATATAAATGGTTTAATACCTTTTACAGAGAATAAGTAACTACATTGCTGTATTAAACATGTTCCATTAAACAAAACTAATTAAACTAATTTTTTAACTAATGTATAATATTGTCTTGTAATATTATTTCTTAACTAGTGGTTTTTCAATATTAATGGTTTAATATCTTTTAAAGAGAATGAGTAGCTACATTGCTGTATTAAACATGCGGTTCCATTAAAAGGGTGAAGTTGACCTTCATGTGTCCTTCACACCCTCCTCTCTCGCCGCCCTTCCACCACTGAAATTATACGCCCCTCGAAACCATTTAATTTCTATTCGAAACCTTTTCTAAATAATTTCGAAAATATTCTGATGGTCGTTTTAAGTGAGACACCCTGTATATGTGACTAATATTAATTACTGTAATTATAATTAATTCTCCCTTCACTAATATTAATACTAATATTAATATTAATAATATAATAGTAAGAAATATTATGAGAAATATGGCACAATCTTAGGCGCAACATTTCTTTGAACTACAGTTGCTCACACACTACGCAAAATAAAAATGACAAGGTATACTTCTTGTTCGAAATAAAATACGCATGAATGTATAAAATTACTCTTCAATCTTTATTAATTTGTTACAAAATTATTATCAAGATAAATTTTCAAGATATATAAAGTTACTTCTACAATTAATTTGAAAGAGATAAGAGGGTTTCTTTGAGGTTAAATAATCCTAGGGTAGTATTTATGGGAATACTTCTTCTTCCTATTTCACTTCCAACACGTTCGATTCGGAAGTAACAAATGAAGGTATCCGTGTTTGTTCCAACTGTGTAATTTACACGCTTAATTCTAACTTCATTCTATACTATTAACGCATTCTAATAGATTTCCTTTGTGTAATAATATGTAATAGTAGTTTAAATATTTTAAATAAAACATGTGAAACAATAATGAGAGCAGGAAGTATATTCTTAAATAGTATCCATATATTGTCTTATAACAGAAAAACTTTCCTTATTTTTCAAATGAATGAAAGTTAGGTTAGAATTTTTCTACCATATACCTACACTATATTATTTAAAAAATTGTTTGTCAATTTTTGTTTCTTATTTTTCAAATGAATTTCTTGTATTTTAGGTTTCAAATAAATAAAAGTTAGGTTAGAATTTTTCTACCATATATCTACACTATATTATTTAAAAAATAATTTGTCAATTTTATTTTTTTATTTTGCAAATGAATCACTTATTTTTAAATTCTCAAATGAATCAAAATTAAGTTAGAAATTTTTCTTCCACATCATCAACACTAAACTATTTAAAAAATTGTTTGTTAATTTTATTTTCTTTTTTTTTTCAAATGAATATTAGGTAGGAAATTTTTCTATTATACTACCTACAACACACAACCCAAACTGATTTTCAATTCTATGGGAGTCAACGACGAAAATTTAAATGCGAAACAAGTTGCTATTGCAATCAAACATGACCGAAACACACGACGTGATTCTTCGAAAAACACTGTAATTCGAAGATTCCAACGTTTCCCCTTGCATTTAAATGTATTGGTAAAATAAACTTTCTATTTTCTACAATTCGAAATGTGTTGCACTTTTAGCAATCATATTATATTTAAACATAAACTGTTTCTTTATTAAAATTTACTTACCATAATTCTGAAATATAATACACATGTTATATTTTTTTTATTTTTTAATATACTTTATTTTCATTTTTATACCACTGTTTTTATTATTTTCCTGCTTGCATTTTTATTAAAGTTACATTAAATAATAACAAATAATTTTGTTGAATAACGTGTACCATTATGCAATTTCAAATAAAGTAATATAAAGTTAATTTTTCATAGGGTCAAATTTAACCCTATCGCAATATTTCACTCTTTGGGCTATGATTTATTGGGGAGGGGCATCACTCAAAGCTAATTATTCATATAATATTAAAACAAGTAAGGAAAATTTAAATGTTAAGTAAAAATCCAGAAAATTGTAATGTTTAATTTAATGCATTTTATTTTTTAAAGAAATATTTAAAAAATTACTCATTATGTACAAATAGACTCAAAGACAAGTATTAGCACTCTAATTTTTTTTAAATTATATTTTTAGTAAATCAAGATGGAGGCACAAGTTTTAAAAGCTGAAAAACAGTACATAATTTTAAAAAAATTTTCTACGTGAAAGAAATAATATTTTTCTAACATTTTCTGTTTGATGTACTCACCAAGACTTCCCTTAGTTTTTTTAAGGTTAGAATCACAGGTGGTTGGAACATCAAAGTACTACACTTTTAAATCATTTCAACGTGTGTGGCTTACTTCTTTACGTTCTTTCAAAGACTAAAAATTAACGAAACCCTTCAAATATTGTACATATCATAACCGCATCGTAAATCTCGTACAAAGTTTGACCAAACATTACTTGTAAGACAGTGTACTCTTATACTTTGTCTTCGACAAGTCTGGCTTCTGTATGAACAGTCGAGTACACTTCCGTGCTTACGAATAGGTTATCCGGTTACGCTACCTTATAGTATTCTTCGACAAATTTGGAACTTCTAACTTATAGCTTGATATAGCCCGCCACATTTGAAGACTGTATTACACTACAAGCATTCGCTATACTACTGTTTTGAACTTTCAATTGTATAATTCAGATTTTTAAATTTATATCATTGTTATTATTCAAATATGTATATTATCACCTTGATCATAGATTTAATTTTACTGTAATTTACTGTAATTTTAATTTTACTTTAATTTGTATTAATGGCAGTATGAGTTTTTGGACAAATTTTTATTGAGACAACAATTGTTTAATTTTTCTAATTTTCAGCTTTTACAATTTACAGATTTTTAAGCTAAGAATAGTAAAATTTTGTAAGTTTCAGATTTATAAATTTAAAAATTTTCAAAGTTCTAAAAATTTATAAAAAAAAATGTATAAATGTTTACATACCATATTTTCTTCTTCTTAATTGTAAAATCTGCTGATGCCATCTGGTAAGGTAAAACACTCTATGCAACATCTAAAACAATTTATAATTACTTCAATACATTTCAAAGATACACAACTCATAATTGTTTAGTATATTTTAACAATTTACAATTTATAATCACTTTAATATATTTTAACAATACACAATTTATAATAACTTCAATATATTTGAACAATTCACAATTTATAATCACTTCAATATATTTGAACAATTCACAATTTATAATCACTTCTATATATTTTAACAATACACAATTCATTTGTTCTAAAATAATTGATAAAAACTTGTATTTCCAAACGACAATACCCCTTCAAAATGCTTAACGAACGTAACCTTACAAAGTAGTTAATATTGCAAAGAGAGGTTATGTAATTTGATAAAGAACGATAGTCAAAGGAATCTATTTTGAGAAGAGTTCGTATTCTATCGCAAGATAGTAGATTATGATGTATGGATCTCTTTGACATCGAGGTTCTACCAAGCGAAACAGGAAAGAGACTTTTCAAATTTAAGTAATCATGCGTAAGCGTCCTTTCATGACAATGTAGCCGGCTTCCTTTTATTTCCGCCGCCGTCAAAACTTCTCGCTACAGTTTCTACGCTCTAAAATTACGGCGAGTTCTCAAGTATCTCAACTTTCGACAACTTTTGTGCCTTCGCAAGCGACGAAGTTGCTCTCTTTATGTAATACGACGTAGACCGATGTTTTATAATTTTAAAAATTCAAACGGAATGCTATTGAGATGGTCACCGAAAATCATTCTAATTTTGACTGAAAGCTGAACTACGCGAACAACTTTGTAATTCATGGTAAAATATTCTGTCGGTATTGCTTACTTTTCTGTAAAAGGAGAACCGAATTTTGTCAAATATTTGCGGAAGAACGATTGCCAACACAGATACGAAATATGAGATCACTGTACACGTGAAAAGTTCGATAAACTAGTTATTTCGATTTTATAAATTCCAATAAGTTATTCTTATATATTTTTATGTACTTAATATGAATTTGTAAACTGTTTTTTTGTCATGTTCAAATTTTTTAAGAAAAATTGTTAACTATTTTTAAATTTATTTCTACTTTTATATTTTTTAATTTCTAACCTTCAAAAAGGTGTGTGGATTTATAATAATAGTAGCTAATCAATTCCTTTCCTTATCAAATTACTTTATAAAATATCCGAATAAAATAACATAAATTATTGCTGAATTATAAGCATCTAAATACGATTAAATAATAATCGAACCGAGAACACAAAACGTATTGCCCATGAAGCAAAAAAAAATTATATTTACGATATACAAGCACAATGATAAACATTAAAATCTCGATACAGTAATAATTCGATATAGACAAATCTTTTGAGTCAGAACTTTTATTTATATCGTTCAACATTGATCGAAGTCCGAACGTAAAAAAGAACAGCGAGAGAAACGTCCGAACGTAAACAAAAAGTAGTATATCGATAGAAGAGTCTTAATGCAAGAATAAAACTTGTGTATTTTTCTTTTCTTTTTCAAGAAACTTTTACCAGCATATTTGTGACACTTTCCTGATTAAAATGAGACCAAACACATCGTAATTCGGAATAAACTTACTTGTAATTTGTAGCGTTTGATTTATATCGAGGGTTTATTGTAATAAGATTCACGGGAAACGGACGAGCAGTGACACGTCGGGTAGCTTCGTGTCGCTTCGGTACTGTTCGAACAATCACGTGATACGTTTGACAGTCGAGACCGAACTAATAAAATGCGGTCGGAAAGGATGCTATTGTTTATTATAAAGTCTGATATAAACGAATCATTCGATCTAAATTTTCGCTCAGATGTACGACATTGATCGAAATTTCCTGAATATTGAAAAGGATAGCGTAGGAAACAGAACTGAACGTAAACAGTAGTGTATTGGTGAGTCAATTCTAATGCAAAAATGGAACTTTATTGACTGTCATAATCATAGCGTTTTCACTCGCTATCTTATGTGTTATAAACTTATTATCATTAATTAAAGCAGTAAATTATATCGTGTTTGGTATCATTTTAATGAAGAAAATGTAAAAAATCAGGTGATAAAAGTTTGATAACAAAAGCATCAAAAATATAAGTTTTATATTTGCATTGATATTGTCTTACGAATATATCCGACTCCGGATCACGTGACATCGGACGAGCAAAATGGCGTCTTCAACCTATGGAATAATTTTGTTTTCTTATAGCGCGTAGATCTGACGTTACCTTATTGTACTAGCCGGATGTTTATGCATTTATGATATATCGAAATGTGCAAAATGTAAATAAATCATGTTATCAATGCGATATGCAACCTATTATATTTACTTTCTGAACTTTGATGTATCTTCAATGCATAAACATCAGAAATGTAGTTTAAAAATAAATTAAATTAAAAATAAATAAATGTTCTGTCGAAGTACATGACACTATACTTTCTTCCTATTAAATTTATAAGAAAATCTCAGTCAGGTCACACGCGCTGCTGTAAACATTTTTTATAAGAAATATTTAAATACACTAATGACGTGATTAATGTTGTTGAGAATATATCAAATTATCGAACGTAAATCATAAATCGATTGACAAAAGACTACCTTATCGTTAGTTTATATAAAGCGCGAACACCGTCCCGAATGTCATTCCTTGTCCTGTAATTGCCATTGTTCAGTCGTTAACAGTTTGTTGTAATATTATTTTAATAAATTGATTATTATATTTGGCTTAACATCCATTTAATAATTCAAAGTTGTCGTCTTCAATCACTGCATAACTCTAACAAATGTAAATGTGAATTTTTTAGTTTTATATCATATTTTACACTGTCACCGACTGTCACGGTCTGAATGGAAAGTTACCCATAACTGCCGAGGTCTGAAAAGTTAGTGTCAGTCACTGGCGATGCGGCCCGAACAGAAAGTTCAGTCTCAGTTACCGATGATTGACGCGGCACTTAACGTTAAGGGTATTTTCCAACGGTTCAAACATTGAAAAGTCCGTGTAGTAAAATGTCTTCGCAATCCTGCGACGAGGAATCTCCTTATCAATATTTTTATCGCCTAGAAATGTCAATTAAGGGAATACATAGAGTTTAATATCTAAAGTTTTATTTTCTACTCTTCACATTTTTTATAAGTTATTACTTCATAAATTTGTTCATGATAAATAATTTTTAGCTAAAAAGACGAAGGCGTACGATTTTTAGTAACCGCCATCTTGTTATAGAATAAAATGGATCCAGCGGGAACACTGTGGCGCCAGCTGCTAGTTTGTAGTTATTTGCTGCGGAAACTTAGCGCTTAATTACTGTCTTGGGAAAGCGATGTTTAACACCTTGCGGTTCTCAAACTCGAGTGGAGCTAATTGCGCGTGTGATTTTCTTGCGACGGTTTTAAAGGAAAATTATATAACATTTATGAGAGATGTGATCGTTGCCGCAATAGGTGTAGTCTTTGGAACGATATAGTGAGGTCGTAAATCTCCATAGAAATTGAATTTGTTAATTTGATAATTTCAAGTTTGAAAAATGGGGAATTTGATAGTTTTGAAATTTAAAAATGTTGAAATTGGAAATTTGACAATTTGGAAATTTAAAAATTGGAAATATGGGAATTTGGTAATTTGTCAGTTTTAGAACTTGAAAATTAAAAAATTGGAGAATATGTGAATTTGACAATTCAGAATTTTTATTACTTCAAAATTTTGAAATTTGACAATTAGAAATTTGATAATTTGAGATTTCGACAATTTTAAAATTAAAAAATTTAGGAATATGATAGTTTTGAAATTTGAAAATGTACAAATTGAAAATTTGGCAATTCGACAGTTTTAAAAATTTCCAAATCAACAAATCCCCTGATTTTTCAATTTCCAAGTAATGAAATCCCCAAAAATCTAGAAATCAACACATAAACGTCTCTGTTTTCTTGGTCGCAACATTATCTCTCGCAAAATCACATTTACTCCTAACTGTACTACCGAAAATGTAAAAAGTATAGTGAAACCATAGAAATGTCCAAGCTTAAAAGTGTCCATGTTCCGCGCAAATTGGTTGGCATGGGTAGTTATTCGTTCAAACAGTGGTCATTTAAGTAAAACGATTGTTCACAATCGTCTAAAAAAACAGACACAAAGCAACTACAGAAATTAACGTCCACTGTGCCAAACCAATTTCTGTGGCGACTGTTAAAAGCTAACTTCATGGGGATAGTGTTCCAAATGTTGATCGTCAATGAAACGGTTATTGAGATTATAGAATAAATTAAAAATAATATTTTTCTTGGAAAATTGAAAGTTGGAAAATTGGAAATTTGAAAATTTCGAACATTGGAAATTTAACAATTTAGAAATTTGAAAGCTTGGAAATTTGAAAATTTAGAAACTTAGGAAATTTGGAAGTTTGGAAATTTGAAAATTGGGAAATTTGAAAATGGGGAAATTTAGAAAATTTGAAAATTGTGAAATTGGAAAATTGAAAATATGAAAATTTAGAAAATTGGAAATTTAAGTGTAGAAATATGAAAGTTTGGAAATTTAGAACATTGGAAATTTAAGTTTAGAAATATGAGAGTTTGCAAATTTAGAAAATTTGAAAATTGGGAAATATGAAAATTTGAAACTTTGAAACTTTGAAACCTCGAAACTTTGAAAATTTAAAAACTCTAAAATTTGAAATATTACAAATTAGAAATGCAGCAATTTTGAAAATTAGGAAATTCAGAAAAATCAAAATATAATACTTGGAAAATTAAAGCAGTCAGAAATGAAAACTTCTTTCAAAAGTCCTGAAGCTTTTTCTGCGTCACCCTGTAGAATGTAGAGTGCAATCGATCTTATTCGACAAAACTCGAACGGATCTATTATACGAAAGTTCGAGTTACTTGAGTGATGAAACTTAGCAACTTGGTTAAAGTTACCTGTCGACGATCTTACTGAAACCAATTATGAAACGAGAAAAGGGTTTTATCCCACTTACGTGACGGATAATACCTTAATCAGCTATTAAGGTTGCATCTCCT